CTCATGCCTCTGAGCACGTGTTTCATAGCAAATGCCTCTACTGCAAGGCTTCAGTTGGCTGGCTGTAACTTGCTCTGCTAGGCTTTCTACTAGACTTTGTGCAAGGAAAAAAGGGGCAGCTCATGGCACTTACATTACTCGATTTAAAAAAAGTTTGTGTATTTTTTAAAAATACACTGTGAACTTACACGTATTAAAAAGCAATCACTTCATAATCCAGAGCTGTATACTGACTCATGCAAAACTTTGTACAGCTATGAGACTTATAATTCATATTGAAAACTTTTCTCTGAAAGAAAAATCTTTGAAAGCTTATCTGTAAAGGGCATACAAAAGATCAGACTTTTTTAAAAAAAAAAATCGTGTCTCTGCTATACTAATTTAGGAACTGTCCAGGTTTTAAGAAACTGAAAACTGTAACTAAAAGAGGAAGAGGTTTTAAGCCAAATTACTTGTGTCTTTTAAATATGTGCCTAATTCTAATGTTAGTGATATTCACTGGAGAAAACTTACTGTGGACTAGATACTGCTTTAACTCAGGGGTCAACCTGTTGCAATTTAAATGCTCTCAAGTAAAAGGGAAGGCTTGAATTTGAGCTTGTCTTGGCTTTTCCCCAGTGCTTTAACTGAAACAATTATAGGTGACTTGTTATTGTTTATAGAATGGGTGGTACTCTTACACTTCTGTTGATAATGTCTGCAAGGCTCTGTGCTAGTTGTGCCAATGCTGGGTATCAGCCCTTGAGCAGTGCTCCTTGATGCAAAACTGGGTATATTGTAGTAGCAGAGTTGGCTTTTGGTGGCTTTGGCTTTTCTTGTCTCCCTCTCTTGCCCGCCTCGAGCTCGACTGTAGGCAGCACAGGCCCTTCTGAACCTGCTTGTAGTGTGATTAGCTGTTGTACCTGTTAGTGCCTTATGCCCTAGTTAGGGGCATAACGGCCCTTCTTGGACTTGCTAAAAGAGTAAAGCACAGGCCTCCGGAGTGGTGTGCCCCCAAAATGCTTGCAAGGTAGGGGTATGTGAAGGAGGCCTGGCATGCGCAGGAGTGTGGTTCTGGTATAGAGGCAAAATAAGGGAGTTGGGATGACTGGTTGCTCTCTCTTGTCTCTGTTTAAACCTTTGTAAGAGGTAAATAGGAATATATAGGGAAAGGAAAATGGGTTTTGCACTGCTCTGTGTGTGTGTTTTGTTGTTCTGTTTGTTTTTTGTACTTGTTTTATGGTGTTTTTTTTTAAGATCAAAAAACAGTCTGCAGTGGGTGCAAGTGAAAGTAAACTGCTTTGTAACTTGTATAGGCATAGTAGCATTGCTTTGTTTTTGGGCTAAGATGTGAGTAACAAAAGTGCACTGCTTTATTAGCTTCATTTTTTTTTCCGTATGCTACATTAATAACTGAAAAATGATCGTACTAGCTTGTGTATATTGAGAGGAAAATGCAACCAGCTGCCTCAATATTTTTAGGCGGTCAAATATTTAATCAAGTATTTTTGGTGTTGACAACCCAAAATCTTCTGTGGCTTGCTTTTTTTTTTTTTTTTGTAAATTAATAGATCTGCTCTGTTCTGTAATTCCCATATCACTCTTAAATTTGAATGCTCTTTGAAAATTGCCAGAGTCTCTTGAAGATGACTCAATCAAGGCTAGTATTAACTTGTAAAAGCATTTGGAAGCGTGCTTGTGCGGTTTTCCATTTCAGATGGCTCTGGCCCACTGCTTTCTGCCACTCCTGGTGTCCCCTTGGACATAGCTTAATTCCGTGTGCTCGTTTAAAATCCCAGGAGAGAAGGATCAGTCCTCGTTATTTGCGATGGGTGCCTGGTGCAGAGAAGGAGAGGTAGAAAAGGGTCAGAGCCGCTCTTGGGGCAGAGAGATGACTAAATTGTTTGCTCCTCTGGTAAAGAGATGCTGCACGAGACAGACTCCATCATTTCTTCGGGACTTCGTGCTCGTTCCTTAGCCGTGCCAGCCC